TTTTAAAATTAAACTTAAATGCAGATTATACTCAGCACTTAGTCTGTATGATGTATAGATCTGTTAGTTTCATTTTCTGGTTTTTACTTTTATATTTTGTGATTACTATCTTTTCCTTCCTTTTTTTGTGAGACTGGTGGGGTGGCAGCCTAGCGCCCCCTATGGATGAGCCTCCACTGTTAATAAGTATACAACTGCCAATCTGTTAAGAGTAGAAGATGCAACTGATGAAGTATTTTTTCCCCCCTGTAAAAACTCCAATTAAAACTCCAATTACTTTGAGTCTGGACCTTATAAAAGAGGACTCAGCTGTAGCTAACCGTGACCAAGCCTTCTGTGAATGAAGCTTGTGTGTGCAGCAACGACGTTACCGGTCTGACCTCATCAGCCTCTGCATGCGCCAGGGAGCTACCGTGCATGCGGGACAGAGCGCCTGCTCCAAATGGGGTTTTTATCTGACTTTACCATCACAGTCACTGGAGAAGACGCAATGTGCCCCTTCTCTAACTTCATTAAACATGCCCATTACAACACTGGGAGGATGTATTAGATTGGCAAAAGGGGGTGGATCTGATCATTGGAATCATATCTTTAGTTAGAAACATATTCTGTCTGCATCACATGGTTTACATTTCTTACGCTTTGTTAGAATCATGATTTACTAAATATTTTCAGTTTTTTTTTTCAATCACAAGGTTTAGAAAACACACTGAACGCAGTCTAGATGGTTAAAAACCAGGCAGAGGCAGAGCAAACACCACATGATCCTCATGGGAGATCATTTAATAGTGACTTGACATAGTAAACCACCACACCCTTAACCAGCTGAGCTAATAATCGTTGTCGTGGTAGGGGATTTGTGTGGAAGAGCAGGGAAGTGGGGTGATTGGGTTAAAGGTCAGAGTCACAGATTAGGTGTCTAAGATATTCTGGGCTTCAGTGAGCACTAAGTGACACAGCAGGGAGAAGTGTGGCTGTGTGTATCTCATTGAGTGTGTGTTTGTGGACAATCCTCCAAGGAGGTTCATCCTGCATCCAGAGGGAGGCCAGAATGCCCTGGTGTACCCCAGGGGCCTCTGAGCCATCTGCTGCCCCAAGGCTAATACCCCAGCAGACGTTTCTGCCTCCCCTGGATCAACCAGCAAGTGGCGGGAAGGGGGGTGGGGTCTTGGAATGGAGGATTCTTTTACCCTGGTAGGGAGCATCATTTGGGTGTGGTTTTCCAGTAGAAGGTGGATGGTTGGAGGTAGTTAGGGTTGAATCGAGGACATCCATGGGGGGAAGGAAACTAACTCGACCAAAAACATACATTTTATTCCTCACAACTGCCATGGCACTTGCCTTTTAGTGTAGGAAACATGGAAGACTGCAAATAAAAGTGCTCAAAAATCCAACATGAGGAAATGATGTGTGTGAGGTTAGAGTTTGTGATTGTGGGGGGGATTACAGCAGACCACCATGTAATGAATAAATCATTGAAGGATCATTAGTGTCTGTTGTGGGTTATGATAAAAAGAGTCGGGTTACTGTCTCATAACCCAAACGTTCCTCCTGTATGGCACATTTGATTTTTCACTCTGAGTGTAACACAAACCTCCAGTGGAGGTTAGAAGAGGTGGAGCAGATGTGTGTGTGTGTGTGTGTGTGTGTGTGTGTGTGTGTGTGTGTGTGTGTGTGTGTGTGTGTGTGTGTGTGTGTGTGTGTGTGTGTGTGTGTGTGTGTGTGTCATGAAAAGTAACATGAGACAGCTCCTGGGGATATAGACAAAAAGGGTTTTCTCAGAAAGGCAGGAGGAAAAAAAACTAAAAGCAGAAAAATAAAGCTCTTAATAATCAAGCTCCATCATACATCAGTGGCCTAATTGTTCCATACGTTCCTAACCGAGCACTTCGCTCTCAGACTGCAGGTTTACAGGTGGTTCCCAGAATATCTAAAAATAGGATGGGCGGCAGATCTTTTAGTTATCAGGCTCCTCTCTTGTGAAACCAACTCCCAGCTTTAGTCCGTGAGGCAGGCACTTTGTCTACTTCTAAGACTAGGCTTAAAACATTTGTATTTGATAGGGCCTATGGTTAAAATCTGACGTTAGCCCAGATCTGGACAAGTGGGGGAGTAGAGGGAGGAGGAGTGTACAAGATGACTCTCCCTTGCCCTGCCTCCAACATGCCTCCACCTAAAAGGCTAGGTTATCCAGAGTTATCTCTGTAGTTATGCTGCTATAGGCTTAGACTGCTGGAGGACACACTGACCACTTTCCACACTCTACTACTTTCTTCTAGAATCTGCTCTTTAACTGTATTATTTCCTGCAATTTCAGCTGTTAACTTTATTTTTTCTCTAAGTGTTTTTCTCCCCAGAAGAAGCTACAATGATGTTCTGCTGAGCTGTGGTGGCCTCATGGAGGGGGCCATCAGCTTGAACACTGCTGCTTACCACTTAAACATTTTCCCTCTCCTGATAACGACATTTTACTTTATTTGACATTGAATATGCTACCACTAGTTTACCCTTTAATTATAGATTCACTAGGATAAATACAATAAAGTTTATCTCTCACCAAATAGAATATTTACTAAGAAATCACAATGTAACCATAAAAACATTACTTGGTGTATTTGTTGTAAGTAAGTAAGTAAGCAAACTTCAATTATATAGCACTCATCACAGACATAGAATCACAAAGTGCTTCACATTAATCAAAGCAAAATAAAACAAAGTCAGAAAATCATAAATACAGGTGCTGGCCAGTAAATTAGAATATCATCAAAAGGTTGAAAATATTTCAGTAATTCCATTCAAAACGTGAAACTTGTACATTATATTCATGCAATGCACACAGACCAATGTATTTCCGATGTTTATTACGTTTAATTTTGATATTTATAGGTGACAACCAATGAAAACATCAAATCTGGTATCTCAGAAAATTAGAATATTCTAAAGGCCAATGAAAAAAATGTTTGTTTCTCTAATGTTGGCCAACTGAAAAGAATGAACATGAAAAGAATGTGCATGTATAGCACTCAATACTTAGTCGGGGCTCCTTTTGCCTCAATAACTGCAGTAATGCGGCGTGGCATGGACTCGATCAGTCTGTGGCACTGCTCAGGTGTTATGAGAGCCCAGGTTGCTCTGATAGTCGTCTTCAGCTCCTCTGCATTGTTGGGTCTAGCGTATTGCATCCTCCGCTTCACAATACCCCATAGATTTTCTATGGGGTTAAGGTCAGGCGAGTTTGCTGGCCAATCAAGGACAGGGATACCATGGTCCTTGAACCAGGTGCTGGTGGTTTTGGCACTGTGTGCAGGTGCCAAGTCCTGTTGAAAGGTGAAGTCTGCATCCCCATAAAGTTGGTCAGCAGCAGGAAGCATGAAGTGCTCTAAAACTTCCTGGTAGACGGCTGCATTGACCCTGGACCTCAGGAAACAGAGTGGGCCAACACCGGCAGATGACATGGCACCCCACACCATCACTGACGGTGGAAACTTTACACTGGACCTCATGCAACGTGGATTCTGTGCTTCTCCGCTCTTCCTCCAGACTCTGGGTCCTTGATTTCCAAAGGAAATGCAGAACTTGCTTTCATCAGAAAACATAACTTTGGACCACTCAGCATCAGTCCAGTCCTTTTTGTCCTTGGCCCAGGCGAGACGCTTCTTGCGCTGTTTCTTGTTCAAGAGTGGCTTGACACACGGAATGCGACACCTGAATCCCATGTCTTTCATGAGTCTCCTCGTGGTGGTTCTTGAAGCGCTGACTCCAGCTGCAGTCCACTCTTTGTGGATCTCCCCCACATTTTTGAATGGGTTTGTCGTCACAATTCTCTGCAGGGTGCGGTTATCCCTAGAGCTTGTACACTTTTTTCTACCACATTTTTTCCGTCCCTTCGCCTGTCTGTTAATGTGCTTGGACACAGAGCTCTGCGAACAGCCAGCTTCTTTAGCAATCACCTTTTGTGTCTTGCCCTCCTTGTGCAAGGTGTCAATGATTGTCTTTTGGACAGCTGTTAAGTCAGAAGTCTTCCCCATGATTGTGGTGCCTTCAAAACAAGACTGAGGGACCTTTTAAAGGCCTTTGCAGGTGTTTTGAGTAAATCAGCTGATTAGAGTGGCAGCAGGTGTCTTCTATATTCAGCCTTTTCAGAATATTCTAATTTTTTGAGATACCAAATTTGGAGTTTTCATTAGTTGTCACTTATGAATATCAAATTTAAATGTAATGAACATTGGAAATACGTCTGTGTGCATTGCATGAATATAATGTACAAGTTTCACGTTTTGAATGGAATTACTGAAATATTTTCAACCTTTTGATGATATTCTAATTTACTGGCCAGCACCTGTAGATGAACATCATAAAATCAAAATCCTCTCAAAACGGAATCTGATTAACGTCAGAAAAAATAAAGTCATAAAATTATAAAATTTCGTAAACAGATGAAAGATAAAAAATTTGAGTTAAATATAAGAAAACTAAAGAGTTTGGTAAAAGCAGCTTTAAATAAAAGATGTGGTGTGTGTGTGTGTGTGTGTGTGTGTGTGTGTGTGTGTGTGTGTGTGTGTGTGTGTGTGTGTGTGTGTGTGTGTGTGTGTGTGTGTGTGTGTGTGTGTGTGTGTGTGTGTGTGTGTGTGTGTGTGTCTGCTCTGTCTTCTCGATCCCCAGTGAGTCGTGGTGGATGGCTGCTTATACTAAGCCAGGTACCTCTGGAGGTTTCTTCCTGTTAAAAGGGAGTCTTCCTCTCCACTGTCGCTAAATGCTTGCTTAGTATGAGGATTGCTGTAAAGACTCTGACACCAGTCAGTGACTTGATGCCATCTGCTGGGTTCCTTTTATAGGAAACTTTTTACTTATTGGCTTAATGAACTGACCTGTATTGAAAAGTTTACTGTGTGAAGTGCCTTGAGACGACTCTTGTCGTGATGTGGCGCTATATAAATAAACTTGAATTGAATTGAAAAATATGAGATAAGAAAAAAATACATCCAATGATTCCAACTTACGACTCGTGGACGCTGCAGTTGTAGAAGACAAAGTCAACGCTGGCAAACTTCTTTCCTGTTTCCTTGGACTTAAGGTAGAGCTTCACCACCCGCTTGTCACCTGAAACAAGGAAAAACCAAAACAAAAATGTCACAAAGGAATTAAACTTTTAGAAAATAAACAAGCAAATCATGAGAAAGTCATAATGGTTACTCTCTATTTGTGCCTAATGAATTTTTCTTATCAACTACCTGTTTAACCACACACACACACACACACACACACGGTAGGTAAGCATTAAAAATAGCACTAATCAACGTTTGCCAGATATGTGATGAGAACACATAATTGCGGATAATGGAACTGGCTCACGACCGTCTCTATGAAGAAAGTCGCTATCTGACATGATCGTGGTGCTTTGAATGTAGATATCATGTAAGATTCTTGTGTACGTGTGTGTGTATGTGTGTGTGTGTGTGTGTGTGTGCGTGCGTGCGTGTGTGTGTGTGTGTGTCTAAAGATGAATGTATTTTTAAATTTGATCATAAAACACACTAAAGTTCCTGCTTTGAAATCAAGTGAGGAGCAAAATCATTTAGATACAAAAGCATAAAAACAGAAGTGACACCAGTGCAGGATGCACGGTAATGGGAATTCAGAACAGTTCTGTCCTCAGATGATGAATCTGCGATGGTGTGTGGGCCTCTGAGTGGGAATGGGCAGCTTTTATCGGTGCCGACAACAAATCCAGAATAAAGAAACACGAATCAAATCAGCAGTAGTATTAAAATTCTGTTTGTGTGGCTCTTGACAATAAAGTGTCTTGGGAGGAGACGCATCACTGTGGTCACTGATAAACCAAAGGGAGAAGAAAACATGAAATACCAACTCACAGGATATTCCTACATTTATCAGCGGCCACCCCTCCATAACCACGCCCTCTCATACTCGCTCATCGACGTTTTCGGTCCTAACCTTTGTTCCTGGTGATGGGAGCGATGTCTTTAGCAGATGGAGACAAGCAAAAGATGTGTCCACCCTGGATTCGTCCCTCTGTCTCCACATAGTCCTCGAAGGAGCAGTTAACCCCCGCAGACAGATCGGGCACATTACGAGCCTGGAGGACCAGCTACGGAGAAAGAATGAGTGAGACAATCTGAGCAAGATCAATGGAAGGACATGGTGTTCATGGATTGTTATAAGATATGACACGAGGGTTAATGGGAGTTGGGAGAGACGGGGAGTGGGGCACGGATGTGGGTATGCGTGACAGTAACAGGAATAAAAGACTAAGAGCTTCGGTGTCACTCACGGCAGCAGCTTGTGTGAGGTTAACGTGTTAATGTGTAGAAAGAAAATGAAGAAAACTAATCAATCACATTCGTGGGCACAGAACGAAAACTATTAAACACTCAGACATAAATGTGCAGCTTTTTTAATTCATGGAGGTGATGAAAAGCAAATTCCTAATTGAATCTGTGTAGACATGCCTGAAAATTGGTCCCTATTTGATATACTGGATCAAGGGAAATAAAGTTGTCAGTCAAATGACTTTATTATACTACACTATAAAATAAATGAGCTGTACGTCAGCTCAGACATGTTCAACCTTAATGGGAAATGGCAAAAACCAGTTTAAAAAAGTCATCCAGTTTTTTGTGAGTTAACAGACTTTCATTTTCATATCAGCACCTTTGAAGTTCATCAGTTAGTGTCAGGATTTGTTGTGCAGTTATAGAAATAATCTAACCCTTAACGGGAGCAAACCAAAACATTAAGAAGGTGCGGGCTTCAGTTGGCAGGTTTTAATATGTTTACCAGAGTGGGTCTTCAGTTTTCAGTCTGTCTGCTAAGCTAACAGTATCGCGGGAAGCTTGTAATTAGGGATGTCCCGATCCGATGACATGTTCGGAAATCGGCCCCGATCACATGGTTTCAGACTCGATCGGGACTTGGGCTTTACTTCCCGATCCAAGCCCGATCCGGAGTTGGATACTGGGTTCAAATTACAGGAGAGCAACTCGGTTCTCCTAAAAGGTTGTCAGGCTCCCCTGATGCCCTTAACTTACACACCCAGAAGGAGCACAAAAGAGATCCAGTTTCTACCTATTTTATATTATTTATATGGACTCAGTGTAGCAGGGATTCTTTTGAGCAGAGATGCAGAGAGCGGCAGGCAGACCGCTGATTATTCCAGCTCCAGATGCGTTCTGCACACGGCCACAGTAACATTTTCTAAGTTTCTAAGTGGTGTCACCAAAAAACATATAATTAACACACAGTCGTTTGTGTCCGTTCATTTTCTCTCTGGTAAGTTCTGTCTGGATTTGAGCATGATGTGTGGACGCGCTCGCACTGCCCCCGCTGCAGCGCTCGTCACAGGCGCAGTCGGGCAGCGCAGCGCACACTCAGCTTTTTTTGCAGTCAATAGATCAATTTGATCTGCTTGTTAAAAAGTTACTTGTGAGGTGAAAAAGAAGGAAGCAGGCAGGAGTTTTTCAGGAGGACTAGGAGATGCAGGAAGATCAGAGACAGACAGGACAGGAAGATGGGAAAATAAAAACCAAGAAAACAAAAAAAAAATTCTTAAAAAAATAAAATGTAGGTAGACTGATCGCACTACACGTTTGTACTTGTATAAAGCAATAAATTATCAGCACGTAGTATTTATATAGTTGATACAATTCAGATCATCTTCAAAACTCCATCCCATGCCCAGGGACGTATCTAAGCATTTTGGGGGCCGAGGCAAAATAGACCCCTGCCAGTTATTTTAAGCTGAAGTGCTATCTGTTTTTATATTAGACTTTTTATATTTACAATAAAGTCCAAAAGTGAAGCATTTATGTTATTTATTACTTGATTGTTCAAGCTACCTCCCAGAAGTGATCTATTGTTAAAAATTAAAATAAAAAGGTAATTAAATAAAAAATAAGGAACATTCTGGAACTGTTTCTTCCTTTTCTTTCTTTTTTTTATGTATCAAAAGTATCAGATCAGGACTCGGTATCGGCAGATTCTCACAATCAAATGACTCGGACTCGAGGGCAAAAAAAAACCTGATCGGGGCATCCCTACTTGTAATGTTGCAAAGACCCACTATAGTGATGTTTTCTGTTTTTTAGCTCTTCTCAGACTGCTCATGTTGGGCTTTCTTTTAAGCTAGTGACAAAAATAACATGAGGTGATCAGTAAACAGTGAAAGGTAACCTGTATGCTCCGCAGAAACACAACTCGGCACAAAAATGGTTGTGTTGTTGGACATTCTGCTTGGTTTTATGGCTTTTTGTCAGACACTGAATCAGGAAATGGCTGCAGGCAATGAAGCAGCAGGCAGAAAACTTCAGAGCAACCAGTAACTCCGCCCCTTAGCCAATCAGGAACATCAAAGGAGCAGGGACTAAAAATTGGGAAAATACCGAACCGTGCTCTTGGAAAAGGTGGTCGGGCTGAGCTGCACTAATCTGAGTTACTCATGGAAAAGCAGCTTTAGTCTGAAAGCCAGAAAGAAGGATCTACAAGTTGATTTAAAGGCAGGAGATTACTTACCTGGACTTCAGACATGGTGACAGAGATATTTTTTGGCTGAACAGTCAGCTCCACACACTGTCTCTGGTCAGATGCAAACCTCTGAGGCTCCCCGGCTCGTTCACAATGGTCTTTACGGGAACATCTGGAGAACAGCGGCAGGGCAGGCAGAAAGAGGGGGCAGAAGGAAAGAAAGCGTAAAACAGAGAGAACAATAAAGAGCAACATGGAGGGTAAGTTGAATAGAGTTGGGAGAAGAAGAAGAAGAAAGAGTAAAGCTAATTTTACAATAATATTAGGATGATAAACATGCAGAGCCATCAGCATCTCACAGAAATGAGAGCAATGATAAAAGACAAATAGGCTAATAGGTAATAGCTTCACCCAGTCATTACTGTGGGACTCTACTTCATCATCTTATTGGTCTTCTGCTTCTGTGAGGGAACTACTAAGCAACAAGAACATCCAGTCCACCCCTCATCTCTCCACTTAAACTGGCATCTCTGAATCAAACTTCTCTGGAGATACGCTGGCAATCTTCAAAATGTTCCCGAACCCATAAAATGATGCAATTCCAAAGAGCCGCCTGTCGGCCTCCTCCTTCGCCTCCACCCAGCCTATAACAAACCAAACGATCGGGCGGAAAAATCAGCACACTTCTCAGTTTTGTGGCAGTTTCACTATTAGCTATTCATAATGCATTTGCTTCACCTTCGTGCTAACAACAACTGGTCCCAGTGGTGAGAGGAAAGTGCTGATGCAGCGCGCTGCGACGCCTTAACAACATGACAGAGGAAGAAAAAAATGCTAACTGCCTCCTCCGTAAGGCATCTCCCCCATTCCCTCATTTAGTTAGCCTTCACTCACACTCAGGAAGAAAATGCTGTCGCCAACCACTCCCCTAAGAATCACTGAGACACACACACACACACACACACACACACACACACACACACACACACACACACACACACACACAACGGCCGCAGCAGGAAACTATAAATGTGCATACACACATTCTCATTATAAACTCCTTTTATGGCTATAAGGCTAAATGAAACCTGCTCTTCTACACCTGCTTGTTTTGTTTCTTTTTCCTTGTTAACACAGCTGATTAAAAGCACCAGGACTCTTTTTAAAGCACCAGAGGGCAAAAGCTTATAAAGACTTTGGCTTTTAATATGTTGATAATAAGTAAACAAGAGCCCCAGAAAGATCTGGCAATATTAAGCAGGATATGAGCTTTAAAGTGGTGGACGTTCACCAAAGCTGTGCATTAGCATCAGCTCAAGACCATGGTGACTGTGCTTGTGTAAATTT